CATTGGCAGATGAAAACTTTACTAATGCACAAGAAATTTATCTGAAAAGTCGTTTCAGAGATCTTGTCTGGTGCAGCCAGTGAAATTAATTTCTTCCAGTAAATATTAGCATAAATTTCAAACAGCAATCAGACTGTACAATCCTGCCACATGGGCAAAGTCTTTACTCCCATCCACCATCATTTCGTGAATCACTATAAAGGTCTCAATTTGTTCAATAATAAACTTCCAGATGTCAGCAACAGAAGATCCACGATAATAGAAATACAGAATTGTTTGAGTGCTAAATTACAGAAAAATGTTGCTATAAAGAGAGAACTTTGCTATTCTCTTTAATTTGCTGTATACCTCAACGCTACAAATGTGGAATAAATATTATGTCAGATGAATACAGTGAGCGAGATGAATATAGTCAAGTGAGCAAAGGAAAACTTTGCATACGCACTAAGATAAATATGTAAGGTTCTCAAGTTTTATGCTTAACAGACAGGAAGTACATGGGACAAAATTTAGCTGAATCTTTGCTATAACTCATCCAGTTACACCATGATTTCTCTGACTGGATCATTCTACTGAACATTATGCTACAGCAGTATGAGCAGAACACAGAGAACTGCATTCAGTCTTGCTTCTGTCCCTCTTTCCCACCACAAAATAAGCTGGTCTTGTGTTGAAAGTAGCATTGCCTTAATTTTAATTGCTACTGACAATAATATTTTTCATATCTAAAAATTATACCTTTTGCAAAAATGTGAAATCATTAATGTTGAAAATTCTCTTTTTAAGTTCATCCAGACTGTTTTATTTCAAAATAGTAGAAAGATACTCAGAAGAATAAAAAAAATCTTTTTTTTTCTTAATAAAATATTTAGACCGATGAGACCAAGCTTGTAAATTAGGAAATTTAGTGAAAAAAAAAAAAAAAGGTCTCTTTACCTTTTCAGTGTGAATGAATTGCAAAAAAATATAATACCATCTTTTCCTGAGAGTAAAAAGAAAAGGATTCAATACTGAGAAGAAAAGGAAAATGCTCATAAGGCTCAATTAAAAAGAATCTTATGTTCTGGGTTATTACTCCTTAATGAGGCAGATAAACTATCAATCAAATCCTATGAGTATTAATCTTGGTTAAAAAGACAGAAAAGAAAGAAAGAAAGAAAGAAAAACAAACTTGGAAAATCAATATACCTATTATTACTTGTCACTTTTCAGTAGGGGGTCCTGAATTCAGGTGCACAAGCTTTGCCCAAATTTGAATGTTTTGATTGATATTTATCTACAACGGCAATTTTCTTCAAAAGATTACTTTTGCAAATAAAATTTAAGCAAAAAAATTTTAATCATTCCTGAGCTGATGTGCGAGAAAAATCTACTATTTTCCCCTCATTGAAAAGCTCTCATAACATTTGCTTTAAAAAGCACTAGTATATACCAGGTTTCTTGGAAGACTCTGAAATTTGGCAGGGGGGTGATTAGGAGATGCATTAGGAGATCATTTTTTTACTATTCTGGTGAAATTTGCCTACATTTGTTAATTGGGAACTATAATTGCCAAAGATACTTTCCACTGAGCATGCTCCAACTTCAGACTTTAACTATGCAGAAATTAAAGGGGTATGAACCTTGAACTGGGGAAATTTATGTGTGTTATACCCTTTGCAAGAAACTGATTGAAATTACCTTTAGTTTTTCTTTTTCAATCACTCTTTGTGTACCTTATAGTAACTTAACTTGTGTACTTTACAGTAGCTTAATTTAGGCAATATTTACCAACATTATTTATGAGTGTTTTGTGGGACTATGACTAAACCAAGGCAGATCACATCTCTTGTTTCTCTCCAGGGCAGCTATCCTGTCAGAAAAGGGAAAGAAGGCTATAATCTGTTCCCAACACTCTCTCCCACTCTCTTCTCCGTCGATATGGACTTAGTAGTAGTCATAACTACTACCAACTTCTAAATACTAACAAAACTAACATTAAAAATATTTTAACCGCTTATGTTTCATATTCTGACTTGTGTTTATAACTCCACAAAAAAGACATGAATAGGCAGCTCCAACCCAAAGTGTTCCATTCAAGGAAAATAGTCTTCCACAATCCTTACAAACTTTACACTAATATCATGCACGTGAAATGTTTCATAACTAACCACTCTCTTCTACCTCTCAAAACAACCACAGAGGTGCTCCTTCATAAAGATATATTTACGTGCTAAGTTGCAAACACTTTTTTTTTTTTTTAAGAAAAAACACTTATTTCATGTAAGAATGAAGTGATAAAATGATATGTGGGCACGTATGCAATTTTAGTTTCATTTTTCAAATTCGGGGTAGACACCTTGAAGAAACGGAACTTGCGGAAGTATGGTGGCTAGTTTCAGGAGGTCCTGGTCCACTGCATACTTAGGCAAAGGCAGGGAGATCATTATCCTCCCCTGTCCTGACCAGCAGTTGGGGGCAGCTGTCTGCTGGTCATCCATCCAACAAGGATTATCTAACCAGTTAATACACACATACCTTCAAAGCAACTATAAAAAGTGTTTTGTATTTCCCCACTGTCAGCATGGACAAACCTTTGTCATGACTTGAGAGTAGTATGGATGCATTACACTAACTTTTGGGGGATTTAAAGAACGGATTTGAGTGGAAATATGACTGGAATTATTAAACGTACAGTAAATTTGGGGAAGTATTGCAGTAGAAAACTATGAGGGGAAACTCTAGGGAATATGAGGGACCTGAGGGAGAAACTGATGTTCAGAACATAGGCCTTTTTAGTCCCTTTCAGCAGAAAAACACTTATTTTAAAATAAAAAAAAAAAAAGTTTTTTTTTTTCATCTGAAACAGAAATGTACAGTAAAAGCACTTTGCTCTGAATTTATAGGAGAAAAGTATCTCTAGCTAGTCACCAAGACACAGAAATAGAATTCCCAAATGTGATTTTTTATTTTACTTCAAGAATTTATAAGCATATAAAATTAAACTCCATCAGGTAAAATTCTTTGCCTGAACTCTCCTGTTTATTAACTCTCCTGTTTATTGCCAAGTGAACAGGCTTAAGTCACCTGTATCAAGCTTTATTTCATGTGCAGTGGTGTAGAAATGAAACTTCTGCTACTTGATGATATTTTCTGTTTCTCAGTATTGGTTGCACTTCACGCTACAGCACCACTTGCCTCTATGAAATCTTTTCTTCTGTATGATAAGCAGTGCTAGATATTGTATAAGACTATGACTATCATTGCTGTTTATTTCTTGGACATTCTAATTCTGAAGTCTAAATGGTAATACCATTTACAACTGTGGTTTACAATTCCATATACATCTGGTATATATGTAGTTATCATTCTGTATGTGTCCACATACTTCACAACCCTGTATCATCTCCCTTCTGATAATTTCAAAGTACCGTATAAACATCCACAAAAACTCTGAGAAGTACATATATATTTTCATTACAGCTATGCAGAAGAATCTTATTCAATGTTTTGCTAAATCAGAATCTCAGGATAAAACTTGCTGAAAAAATATTATTATAGGTCATTTTAATATTCTGCAAATAACAAGAATTGAATTTTCAAAAAAAAAATACAATACCTCTATAAATTAAAACTTAAAGAGAAACAAATAAAAACATAATTACAATGAATGGAAATACTTTTTAAAATATTCTTATTGCTCTCTCAAAAGTAAAAGGAATGATTCAGTATTAAAGCAATAAAAATGGGCTGTAGCCAATTATTGCATATGGGCTATCTATCCATTCAGTACATGGATTCAAGGATTCATGTTCCTTTTTTCACACTAATACAATCTTCCTGTCTGACCTTGAACAAGTTACTTGAACCATGTGCAACAAATGATCATGTATAACATGATGATAGTAGTTCTTTTTTTATCTCCAAGGAGTACTGTGAGGATGACTTACTTAGAAATGATCTGCTCCCATTGTCTAGTTATTATAGTACTCTGTATTTTATAGTAGATATTATCTTTTACTGCAGAGGCAAATAATAACTTGGGTTAAGTTTGCTGATGAATACTAAAAACTTTTATTACAAGGAGATACCACAAATACTAACCTTTTAAACCAAAAAAAAATTTTTTTAATATTAGAAAGAGAGGTAATATCAGTTCTGCCTTTGTGCATGCCCATTAGAGCATATTATCAGCTTACAATAGGTAAGTGACAACCTGTGAAACCCCAGGGAAGAATATTTGGGCATATTCATAGCTTTTCAGATTTTTTTGTTTCCCTATTCTCACTGACTTTTGGTCTGCTAGATCCCAGCCGAACCCCACTTAGCTTCCTCTTCTCCATGACATCACATTCTTCTCATTCCTTTCAAATTTCCCTTTCATTTCCTCATATTTTCTTGAACCTTTCTTCAAGCTTCTGTGTTCATTATTGATCTCAGGCTCGATATTTCATTTATGTAAGTTTTATCCCATCCCCTAGATGATACACACAATAGCATCAAACTTGGGATCACAGGGCAGAATTTGAGCCCAGGTGCAGGTGTTACAGCTACACTTACAGATGACTTAGATTTGAATCCTGAATTAGGAACTGTCGAAGTTCAGTTTCACAACTTTGTACTGATGTTTTCTAGAGGGGAAAAAACAGACGCTAGAAATGCCTCACATATGGAGTAGTGCCTGTACATCATCAGAGTTCAATGCCAGGTGTTTCACAACACCAAGAACTCTCAACTCACAGTGGAACAACAGCTTTCAGAACATTCTTGGCCTTTTGGAACATTATTTCTTTTTCTAAGGTTATAAATGCTATGCCATGTTTTGCATGATTTTCATAAATAGCACAACAAATCTATAGACACTACACCACTTTTATTTGTTGTGAAGTATCCATAGAATAGAAGGAAAAAAAGATAATCCATGATTTGCACTTCAATGTGTGTGAAGTAGGAAATAGAAATTTTTGTCTTGACAGTAATTCCGATTCATCTGTTACTAAACAAAAGAATATGCTGCCTACCTTGGTTTCAATTTGTTTGGTGTCTAGATTCTGAAAGAGCAGCTTTACTCTTGTTTTCCCATCATCTGAAGATCCTTTCAGCTGAGAGAATTTAAACCTCCACAGCACATTCTAAGGAAAAAGAAATTTGATTAAGAACTCTTACACTCTCTCACCTAGAACGGATAGACGCTGACCTATTAAAAAATCTTTAAGACAGTAAATGGAATGCATTTACAGGCTGCTTGCAGAGCAAGTAAAATTAACAGTTCTGTATCACATGGGAGAGCAAAAGATGAAGTATTAATATTCACTAATTCATTATCTAAAAGTTTTCTGATATGTAAATGTTTCACTTGTGTATCTCAAATAATACCAAATACCATGAGGATATTTGTATCCATTTCAATATGAACACAATTCTGTTCTATATCTTATCTCATATTTCAGTGGGATCACTTGCATAGCATAGGTAACTATGTCATATAGATACTGCAAAACTGAATTCACTGTTGTGTGTAAAGTGGTTTGAAACGTGCTATAGAAATATTGGGTTTTTTATGTGGCCTTGCAAACTACAAAAAATATGTTTTATGTTATACAGTTATTTGCAAACATATAAAAATTCTAGGATATGTTCAAACTTGTCTCTCTTATCAGTTTACATATGTGGTTTTACTACTAGAGAAATCCTAGATCAAAAAGAAAATTTTGAATAATTCTGAGGGTGCTTTTTAAAAACAAACACTAGGAAATTCTTTTAGAAACTAATTCCATTTTGTGTATTTACTTGAATTACTTTTTTCTATTCCTCACCTTTAAAGGCATAGTAAGTCTAAAAAGACAGATTAATAACTTGCATCCAGATTTCCTGTTGATGTTTCCTTTATGTCCTTAATGTTAATGAAAATTCGAAGCACGTATTGAGATGTGAATCAATCCCTAGATACTGGTGAGGAAATATGATTTAAATGCTTTGAAAACTATTTCAAAAGCACACATAAAACAGGCAGATTTTTTTTGATATGTTTTCCATTTTTCAGTATGTCTCACTGAAAAATATTGTCCTTATGTAGGCCAGCACTATACTTACATGTAGAAGTAACAGACTCTCTGTGAATTTGGCTAATATTCTGTAGATAATACTGATGGGATTTGGGGCAGAACAGCTACTCTGTGAGTAACACGCAATTACACCAAAAACGGAATCCTAGTCCCCTCTAAATGAGCGCAGACTATTTCTACTATCTAGTAAGGCTGATATTCTGCGGACTTTTCTCTCTGCAAATTAGACTATTGACACATAGAGTTGGTAAACTCAAGAAAGAATGTGCTGACTTACTCCTAATTTACAACATAGCTTGGAAGAGAGGAGGAGTCCTGCTTCCCACAAATTAATAGTTTGGGAAGTTATTTCTTCACATTATTGCTATTACACTATATGCCTTGATGATTACGACAATGAAATATTCACTCTTAACATCACATATGCTAATTGTGATCAAAGTCCCAACATTCCCAGTACTACAGCAGGGTAGTATATCTGATTGAGAGATGATTAAAATGAGAAAGGTAACAAAAGTTGGAATCCTACAGAGTTCCCCTACTTGGCCAATAATTTTGTCTTTGTAGTGGATACTGCACTACTTGAACAAACTTCAATTGATAAACAGGATAATGTAAATTTAGCATGAGGAAGACCTCATGAATTCATATTATTTGTTACTGTTTTTACAATTCTACTAATACTTTGTAATGACCTATTAAAAAATAAAGTCTTACAGGAGGCAAAAAAAGCTTGATTCATCTCCTGGTTCCCAGCAGACACAAACTCAGTTGGCTTCTTAGACTTCCTAATTTAAAAGATGAAAAAAATCAACTATGCTATGGCATTGTGATAGTGCTTAAACTTTTCAGCCATGAATAGAGTTTAACTGGGTCCAGAGAGCCTAATTAGACCACCTGAAAGGCAATCAAAGCTTAAACGGGTTTGGATCTAAACTGAATAGATGAATGTTCTATAAGGGGTAACTGCTAAGGATGGAGAGGAAACACAGACATAGGAACAATTCAGCAATAACGTGCATTGCTGGAGCGATCATATCTCTCCACAGGTGACACTGTGTGAATAACAGAGGGAGCAGATGGTTCTGGAAGGCAGAAAAGAATGCACACTTTGGGATCCCTTTATTTTAGATGAGCTGCTAGAGGCACTGAATAGGGGAGGTGAGCCAATTAAGCCATCTAGGTACAAAAAAGTCTCTGTGATCAGAGCAACTGTAGGTGATAAGGGTATCTCTGAGATAGGCCCCAAAGGCATGGGTTCAAGATGTGATGACCCTGGAACACTCAGCTCCAGCTGACAATTACAGGCAGGAAGAATGTGCAAGTTGCTCATTACTGCCTCACTCAGAGGCTTGAGAATGCCTGTGACAGGTCCATCTCTCACTCAAAAATACAATAAATTATATATAAATCTTCAAAATTTTTACATTTGAATCTATGCAAGCTTATTCTGTATTTTTCCTTTAGGTAAGAAAGAAGGATCGATCTAAATCTTCTTGATCACTGAGACTGAAGGTGGACACTTTGGGTCAAAGTCCTACTCTTCCTATGGGTAAAATTTTGGTTCTGTTGAATGCAGCAGAAAAAAAAGGATATTAATTCTGGCTTATTTTCTGATCATTTGAATATGAATGTCAATAAACCAGATTATAATCAGTTTACATATTTAAAAGAAACATTTGCTGTCCCTAGATTGCATGTAGGCAATTTTAGGTATATAAAGTAAAATGTGATATGCAGAGCACAGTTTGAGAATACAATTAGAGAAAGGTATACATTTTTTATGACAAAAACCAAATAAATTACCTACAAATAAGTTTAGAAATTCATTTAAGAAGATTAAAATTTCATTTACAAGTAGAACTTTTCTGGAAGTTGGTATACGTGATGAACCATTCCCAACAAACATTTTAAATGCAGCCAATGTGTTTTGCAGGATATGAGAATTTAATCATATGGATTATGACTGAAGCATAATCCATGCCATGGCTCTATTTAGCATTGGCTTAGCCTAACTTTCTTAGGAAGGAAGAAAAAGTAATCTTATCTTACATCTTTGGCTTCAAAACAAACTGAATCAATTGACATTTTAATTTTTTTCATGATAAGTAATTTTTATAAAATCTTGAAGTATTTCAGACCCTAAGAAATCAAATTCTGTGCTAAATATTAACTTTCTTTCCTATTATTACTTGAGAAGGAGATAAGATGTTTTCCATTTTGCTCCAAAATCTCTCTTCACATGCTACAGTACAAACAGATTATTCCTTTCTATTCCCAATTGGTTGCATTTCAGTGGTGCCATATAAATAAAAAATGCAGTATTTTAATGGAAAAAATAAGACCTATACAAGAAACAAAAAAAATCTTTTTATTATTCCTGGAATTATCAGTCAAGCAGAGATATCTCTTCTGCTCCTTTTCCTCTTACCTTTGTTTTACTGTCAAAACATGTAAATCCAAGAGCGAAGTCAACTGTAAAGCAGAGGGTATCCCCTTGCCAACTGCATACATATGTTTTAGACTGAAAAAAAAAGAGATTTTTGAAACAACAGTCATCAGTTTCCTTCATCACCAGAATAACATATACTTTTCTGAGCATGTGAGGATGTTCAGCTGGCAACAGTGATATTGCTTTTATTATTGCACTTTAAATTCATATCTGCCTTGACAATAATGTAGTATCAGATCTATTAGCTAGAGATTTGCTGGATGTCTTTTTTGTATAAGGAGTCCCATTTCTCCAAACAAAAAACATATTCTTGCAAAGCACCTGTAATGAAATGTAACACAGAACTAGCAATGCCAAATCTGACCATTTCAAAGCTTTTGGAAAACTGCTTACACCTGACTTACTAACGGATCAGTTACAACAAATGTGCAAGAAAGATTGTCTAGATATCTGGAGATTACAATACAACTATGAAATAATTATTCACCCTTTTTACTGATTTAAACTTTGAATATAATCTTTTTGCAACATTTTCATGCATAAACTTGGTTGACATGCCATTGCACTACTGTTGATGAATGCCAGCCAAAATAATCATTTAATAATTAGGGCTAACACGCACTAATTAATCAGTACTTCTACTTGCTACATGCTACTATATATATATGACAATTATTTGATCTCTTTTCATATTTTAGATTACCATGTGTTTAGAACTTCAGAAGAAGTTTTAGGAAAAAAAGTCAATGCGTGCATTTTTAAGACTAGCTAACTTGAAGGTATGTTGCATTCTGAAAGCAGAATATTTCAGCTACCAATAGTATCATAATGGTGTGATGACATGTAAGTTAATGGCAAAAATGCCACTGACCTCAATATGAGTAGAGATTAGATCCTTGCAGCATTTTCTCACCAAAGTTTACAAGTCATTTTAAAAATGCTAATTGTACCTGCAAGCTTTACGAAAGCTTTGAGTTTTTTGTGAGTTTTTGTGTATGTATGTGTGTTGTTTGTTTTTCCAATAGAGATTCACAATGTCCTCTTACACTTGGACACTTGTTAATTAGAAACTTTGTACAGGAGTAGTCTCTTTAAAACCTAAAAATAGCTTTAACAAAAGAATGACCAAGAGGAGATTGAAAGCATTAATAAGCTTGCTTATGTTATTGAAAGTTTTCCACTTAATGACTTTTAAGATGCTTTCAGTATGATATAAAATGTTAGTGTCTCTGAAGGTTTTCACTATTCAAAAAAATTTTTTTTTGAGTTGAATCAACATAAAAGCTTCTGAGCTTTACATATAATATTTTATATAGATTTTTAAAAGGGCTTGGAATGAAATTCACTTATTCATAGGCTAGTACTATAATCTACTATAGCAAAACAGAGGTATAAATTACTTTTGAATAAATTGTTTTACTCATTGGTGTTCAAAGATTGTATTTTTGTCATTTTATAATGTTTCAGTGATTGATACTCCATTACAGCATTATTTAAATATCCCCACATTTTATATAGTAATTAAAATGTGGCATTAAGCCCCGGTCATAAATTATTCTCCATTATTTTCCAATTAAAGAGGTTATACTAACTGAGCTCTGACTCAGCAAAGCAATTCAAAAAAAATCATATTAAATTAGATTCCCCAGTGAGTAAGCATCTAATTACACAGCTACACATGGTGAAAACTAAAATGAATTATTCACAAATAATTAACCCTGGAGTATTTTATGAATATTCAATATTTGCAAAGAATGTAAATGGTCTGGAAATTATTTGCAAATAAAAAATACAAACAGAAATATAAAAATACAAACAGAAATATAAAAATACAAACAGAATATATTGCATTTTCAGCATGATAAATTGCAAACAAATGCAATCAGGATTTATACTTACAAAAGACTAGTACCTTTTTAAATAACAGATACAGTTTGGGTTTTGCCCTATAAAGTAGAGATAGCAACTGTTATTAAATTTAAAAACCTGCTTATGGACTATGCTCAGTGACTCAATCTCTCAGATGCCTCCCTGACAGACATTCATCCCCACTCATTCATGATAGTATAGACCACTGTCCCTCTCCTTTCTTAACTTTGGCTTCCTTTACACTTGCAATTATGGGATCGCTCTTGAGTATCCACAGCAATTTTCTGTGTGTACCTTTAATATTACTAATCTGGGTTGAATATTTTCTAATGCAATTCTGGAGGAAAAAAAAAAAAAAAAAACAGCATATGAGCCAACTTCCTGAGACACCCAACTTGAGAATGCTCAGTGTAAGCAACAGCGAGGAAAGGAATGGATTATGTTAAAAATAAATAATCTTCCTTACTGCTTAGAAATGAGATTTTCTGGTCTTAAATCTAATGTCTTGTCACAAAAACCTTGGGTAAGTACAGGAGGATGAGGATCTGCAAAGTCTCAACCTTTAGATATGCATTAAAATATTTTGCTGACATACAGCAATAGTTTAACCTCCACATTATTTACATGAAGGCAGTTATATATATACAGATATGAAAACTCAAAATAATTGCAGTGTGGCACATTGACAATGTTTGAATGTCACTGCTGTGCACTAAACCAAATATTGTTCCAGCTTTAATCTCAGTGGTTATGAAAGGTAGTATGGATGCAGACTCAGAGTGCACTTCTGATGCAATTCTTTCCCCAAAGTATTAAGCTTAACCTGCACCATATCAGCAAATTAGCCTATATTTCCCTGACCATTTATTTAATGTTTTCATGTCCTTTGCTAGTGAAAGGATCTGCAGAATTATTTGTAATGGAAGTTGACTGCAAAAGCATTACCCCTGTATTGTACCGCTGTATTCAGGTGCCACTGTCTTAATACAAACATACCTTCATGAAATATTATTAAGATGATTATATCACTAAGTAGAGGGAAACCTATGTTTCTGATGCATGCATGAAAGACCTCCTATGCAATGAAATTCCTACCTCACTTTGGCAAATTACTAAAATGAAGAGAGGATGTTATCTATACAAGAGCCCCTGCGATTCCTGAGGGAGAGTGAGAAGGCGACTGTTCGGAGCATAGACTTTTCTGCTGCAGGATGAACTAAGATGAAGAAAGAATACTGGGAGCTACATGATGGAAAAGCAGGTCCTGTATCTACAGGCAGGAGGTGAAGTAGAGGTTTTCAGACCTGTAACAAAAAGCAGATAGATAGATAGAAGGTCTTCTGCCCAATTATACCTTTTTTTTTTCCCCTAGTTTTTCCTGGTAACTGCAGATGATAATTAGTATGGAAGATGTGAGTCAAGTATCTCCTAGTGTTAAAAAACAGGCCTTTTTTCATGATATTTTTTCATGATTTTTTTTTACATCAGAGAGGGAACAAGGGACAGGTTCCTTCGGTTCTCTTAAGCGAAGACGGATGTAGGTTTCTGGATACCAATTAGAAGAGCTTTTTCAAAAATGCTTGAGAGCAGATGAATTAATTTTAAAACCATATTTTAAGATCATCACTATGATCATCTTTCTTTCAGAAGGAGAGAATGTATTTTTAACAGATTTGCTGACCTAATGAGGGCTTTAAGCTTGTTTTTGTGAGTCCATTGGT